ATAAATTTTGGCCATATCGTCCAGCCCTAGGTTTTATAGAGTTTTGAGAGGATTTGTCACAGATGGCTGGCAGCTGGCACGATGACCTTAAGGTGCTACAAACACAAAAGTGGCACAGATGACGGTGTAGTTTCCCCCAGCTGATGTCTAGACAACACAAAATGATCAGCTTTGGGATGTGCCAACAGTAGTACAGTGTTTCATACAGATTTGTGTATACAGGTGATACTACAAATATGCACAGATACATGTACTACAAATGCCAGTGGCACTTCTTTGCTTTTCACCACCTGTTATTCATAGTACAGTAGAGGGGAAACAACAAAACCCCACACCCACAAACCACCATATATTATTTTACTATTAAGCAAAAAGAGCTTTATAGATTACATTTCTTCAAGACTGCAGAAATATTTAAATGAGACTCTTTTTTTTTTCAAATAAGGATGCCAGGTTATGTAAACAGGTGTATTGTAAACAGGTCATGTAAGAAATACGAGTAAGAAGTGGAAAAAATACCCAGAATCTCAAAAGAAAAACCATAGAGCAGAATCTCTAGCTGAAGTGTCAAGCAGCGCAAGAGTCAGTAATGTCACTTAATTATGGGAAGTGTTACTTGTCTACAAGGCTCATTACCGCTGACTGCTGATTTTTCAGATTACGCTGAGAATCCAGAGGTCTGGGTGCAATGATTGTAATGATAATAAAAGACAAGGTTTCCAATGAAAAGCGACCAACATCGGAATGGAAGATTTTTAGGAAACGTTGCCTTTCTTATAGAATATTTTAACCAATCAAAAACAAGTGCAAAATGTGGAAACCTAAGTGTCAGCCTGCGATATGTGACATGACATTAAGGCAGGGCATTGTGCTGGGTAGCCTCAGCCACATTAAAATCTCAGTGGTCCGAAGTCACTCATTGTTAATTAAGCAATTGCTCTGATTGGCAGTTATTGTGCAGAGCTGTTGCTTCTAGTATGAAAAGACGAATTACCTTCTGTTACAAAGTTCACATTTCAGTTACAGAAATAACACTAAGAAATGTGTTGTTCCCAGGTGGAAAATTGGTGTGTTATGGTGTCTGAAGCTAGGATTTTTGATGCTCTTGGTTCCATATCTCCCTGAAAGAATATAGCTAATGAACTTAAAAGTTACACAAAGAGAAGCTTGTATACTACAGATTAGGGATGTCAATTTTCGATCATTTCCATGATCGATCGTCGTTTAAATTAACGATCAATTAATCGTTAACCTTAATCCTGCAAAATGCGTCTATTGCAGCGGCACGCAGTCAAAGGCATGACAGGATGTGATGGCATTTAAAATAAAATTATCCCAAACGTAACTGTGGTGCGTGTGGTTGTGCTGCGCAGTCAGTGAACTGCTTCCATCGGCGCTGCTGCAGCAAAACACACTGTTGCTCACATGAAACATTATTATGTGAGTATTATGACCAGTACTTAATTTGATCCTGCTGGATCCTGTTCAGGAAAATGTCAGATTTTGAATTGTTGCGTTCCGGTAGGCCTATTTGTTTTTAAAAATCCGGCATTTACAGTGCATTAGATCATGACAGTGCATGCGTGCGTGCATACGAGGACGAGCGAACGCGGGTTTGGCTAGATGCATTTGGAGATTATTGCTCACGTCTCATTCGGCACAAACCCAAATGTTTCCATATTCTCAATGTATTTGAATGTTAAATGATGATGCATTTATATACCGTCACAGTCACTCACACGTGTTTTGCGCATGAGCCGCATGCAGCCCAAAATTAAATAGCTTAATCGACCATCGATAGCTTTAATCGATTGCATCTCTTATCGACAATTAATCGTTCATCGATTAATCATTGACATCCCTACTACAGATGTTTCACTCGATAAGAGAATTCGTAATGTTAGAGACGAGGGTGTGTGTGTGGTTTCTGGTATGGTTCATGAGGACACAAATGTGTATAATTTCATGGGTACTACAATGTAAACATGGTTTATGAGGACACTTCCTTTGTCCCCATAAACCAAATCGCTTAAAGGGGTCATACAATGCTGCTAAAAAGAACATTATTTTGTGTATTTGGTGTAATGAAATTGAACATGTAATGAAAATGTTTATGCGGTTTAAGGTTCAAAAAACACTATTTTCCAAAATGAACATTATTTTGTGTATTTGGTGTAATGAAATGTGTTTATGCGGTTTAAGGTTAAAAAAACACATTATTTTCCACATACTGTACATTATTGTTTCTCCTCTATGCCCCGCCTTTCTGAAACGCTTCGATTTTTACAAAGCTCATCGGTCTGAGAAGCGAGGTGTGCTCTGATTGGCCAGCTATCCAGTGCATTGTGATTGGCCGAATACCTCAAGGGTGTGATGGAAATGTTACGCCCCTTACCATATTGTGATGCCCTGTCCGGCCGGAGCGACGAGACAAAAACATGAAAACTCATTATAAACTAGGCATTTGTTGCATCCAGTGGGGACATAATTATGGATTATAATTACTTAAACTGTCTTTTTACGATTTGCGTTGCATCGCGCCGCGCCGAGTAAACATAAAACCATGTCTGCATTTGTAATCGGAGAAATGACAAACAACAAGTGCTACTCTACACTGCCCAAAAAACTCGCGTTTGAATCGTCAGTGGCAAATTCTTGAAATATAAAAAACATACTTACAGTCTGTGAGTCAGAACCCGGCTTCCGCAGCACTAAGTTGATGTATTTCCTCAGTGACCAGCACGGATCAGCTCCAGGCATGACGAAGCGGATATCGTCCTCTTATGGAAGGCCAACCAAAGTAGTTTCGCTTTCACAACGAAACAGCACCTTCACGACATGGCGGCGGCGGCAACAACAATACTACAGCGAGAATAAAAGTTACGCCTTCTTTCTTTGCGTGAACATTTGGGCGGCGTTATGCAAATCTTCCCACATCGTGACGTAGACATGTGGGGGCGTGTTAGAACGAGCCGTTTTAGGTAGGCGTGGTTGACTAACTTTTATAAAGAATATCTCTTTGGATTTGAGACTTTAGTCTTTGCAACTTTACAGATCTTCTTTATGCACCAAGAGCTTGTAACACTCCAAAGAGAAAGGAAAAATTGAAAATCGCATCATATGACCCCTTTAAAAAACAGACTAAACTGTGTTTTTTTTTATTAAAAAATTGCCAGTAGTTTTGTGTGAGTGGCAGGTTTAAGGTAAGGGGAGAGAATATAAAATGTATACAGTATAAAAACCATTACGCCTATGGAGAGTCCTCGTAAACCACAAATAAACTACAAGGAAGCAAAGTTCACTGAGTTGCTTCTATCCTGAACTCAGAGAGCAATAGACATTTGAAAGGTAACACAGTGACAAAAGTCAAAGTTACTGTAGCGTTTTAATCACTGAGTCTCATGAGTTATACAGTAGATTCTGAAATACCAGCATGAGTGTGTTCTCTCCCACATAGGAGGAAGACAGATGGGAGGTGGGCAGAGTGTTTGCAGAGACTGTGAAACTCAGGAGAGATAAGACAGAGGTTTAGCAGTGGACTGAGATAACACAAAGCCCTGGGCAAAGATCTCTTTCTCACATGCATGCGTACTTAACATCCTACCCAAAGAAATTTAGATAAAGTCTTCAGAGAATTCACGCCAAAACTGTTCAGCTATGTTTCCATGCTTACACACACCCTCACTGAGACAGAGGAAGTACAGTAAATCTGTCTTTCTCAAGGGAGACTTGTAGACTCCAACCTCAGTACTGCACACACAGAGCATATCGGTCAGTCTTGCTAGCTGACTAAGCTAAGGTCCACTAGTTGTTTTGGCAATATCTTACACACAAACGTGTGTAAGATCATTTTTACACAAAAAGGTTACTTCATTAAGGCCATCTTGATTCATTCTATTTATGTTTGTGTACTACTCCTGTCCTTTAGACAAGCTTCACATTGATCTGTTGCCAACACAGGAAGCTGAAATGTGACAGGAAAATGAGAGCGAGAGGCAATCGTTTAGTCAACTCTAATAAAAACTAAAATGACAGTTTCACACAAAGACTAGACTAAAACTAAAATTAAAACAGGCCGCCAAAAACAACACTACTCTTAATCAGTCAATACGATCTAAACAGAAGAGGATGACATTTCAGGGGGGGAAAACAGTTCTCAGGTGTGACACCCTTTACACACAGTTATTTTGAGTCAACTAGTGGAACTAGCACTAACTCAGCATGGCACCCCATATCCCAAAATATATACATATAAATAAAAATAGTAAAAAACTATATATTTAAAAAAAAAAAAACAATGCCAAAACTGAATTTTCAGCATCCATTACTCCAGGCTTCAGTGTCATCAAATAATAAAAAGAATAATCTGCATCATTATCTGTTGTTTAAAAAAACAGTCCTGTTGCGTAGATGCTTTGAGAAACATCTAAAGCAACACACACTCAGAGCAAGACTCACACATTGAAAACACTCAAACGTACTGCTGTTAAAACCTCCCTAAGGTGCCATGTAAGGTGCCATGAAACCTGTGATCACACTAGAGCACAATAAGTCAGGTCTTCAAGGTTACTCTATCCCATTATAATGTAATTATAGCAGGCCTATCCACAATCTCAGCAAAACACACATGCTGTCCACGCTCGGTATTATGTATATATGTAACAGCCAAGCAGGACTTCTTCTATTTTCACATCAACAAAGCAATGCTAATTCCACAGTACATTTTGGACAGCTGTATTAGTTACTGAAACCGCAGATGTTTAGGAGGTGAGTTGGTGGTGTAGACATACAGGATTTCCTCTCCAAAGGTCCTGATTAGAGAGTGGTTGATCAAATCAACACAAACCCAGAGATTCTGTTTGGTTCATTTCCAGCTCTATGTAAAGAATTCAGTGCTTATTCATGAGATAACACTGAATATGTATTCTGAGCTCTGGAAAGGTCACAGCTGATGAATTCTTCTCACAATCGTCACCTAAAGAGGAAAACTAGTGTTTTACCTTCTGTGCTGAGGCCAGGGCTGGAGGTGAATTTGGCCACATCCACAATCTTCACAGCAAACTGCTGGCCCGTCTCCCTGTTGATGCATCTTCGCACCACACTAAACGGCCCCCTGGAAAGGAAACAAACAGGTAAATTAGAGTCCCGCACATGCTGGGATAAAGATAGGCTATGTTGCAATTAAATTATAGTAAATGAGATGTTCAAATCTTTAAATTGTTGAAATAAACACTTATTTTATACATTTACTCAAAATTAAAAATGAAATATACAGGTAGCCAGTTTAGAAATCATAATGATTATGATCCCTAAAAAGTTCACATTTTGGTTGATTATTCAGTCTATGACTGGTGATCATTTTTATACAGAGGCCAGCAGCAATGAACAACCTCTTCTACGAGTGGGCAAATAACTATTATTGTCAGTAAAAATCCAGATCTTTCCCAACAGAACAAAAATCACAATCAAACAAAATAACACACATGCCTTAACCTTCTTGCATGAACAATTTTTCATTTAGTTGGCCTCAACATTGCCTTTGTTTCCTCTGCTCTAAAAAAATTTAGCTATTGACCCATGAATTTAATCTTTACACAGCCACAATTCATTAAAAAAAAAAAACCCTGACAGTAATACGTAGCAAGAACAAGTACCCAACAAGTCATTCATACAATTACACCTCATATGGAAACCAAAAGTCATTCATACAATTACACCTCATATGGAAACGTTTTTGGGGGGAAGTGAGATTTTCCGTTTCAACAATGTCATTAGAGCAGTACGTGGCTCGACATCCCCAAGCTGAGTATCAGCAGCTGAAGTAAAAAGCCTGGCCTGTTTCTAGGAATGAAGGAATGCTCACATCAGCAATGAGAATGATAAGAATGTTCTGTGCGGACTGAGTGTTTGAAGAACAGAGGGGAGTAGAGGCTGGGGAGAGACTGGCTTTCCGTGAAGAACTGTGATCTGATTTCCCAAAGCCTTTAACCCTTCTCAGCGTGAGCTCTGAGTGTTTCTGCAGGCCTGAAGAAAGATGGCAACAGAGAGACCTCTGGAGTTTTGCTTGTTTGTGTGCAATGGGTTTATGTCAACAGATCTGTTTGCGTTTCTGTCCTATAGGTAAAGATGATGTGCAGTTCTCTACAGTGAGTGAAAATGAGCTGGTGTGATATTTACATACTTTAAGCTCAGCGTGGCCACATTTTCAAACTTGACATTTATTCTCTAAATTACATCCGGCGAGTCGGTAAGAATTTCTCACCCTCCTCCTCAGGTACGCAATTTATATTTCATTACAGACGACCCAGTTCACTCTTACCCACAGATTTCCAGACATAAAAATAGACAGACTTTATAAAATATGTGTTGTCAGAACCTCTCTCTGTACAGTTCCCAGGTCAGTGCTCCGCAGAGAACACTTTCAGGCTGGCTGCTGTCTTCCTGTCATCCGAGTTCTCTGGCTGAACTGTTAATGAACTGCAGGTGCAGTGAACGTGTGGAGGACAGAGTTTAAGGGAGGAGTGTTTGGAGAGCAGCAGTGCTACATTGTGCCTATAACTGAAGGCTGAAAAAATTATTTACTGTCACTTTAGGTCAATTTAATGCATCCTTGCTGAATAAAACTTAAAGGGGTCATATGATGCTTTTTTAAAGATCATTATTTTGTGTATTTGGTGTAACAGAATATGTTGACATGCTTTAATGTTCAAAAAACACATTATTTTTCAAATACTGTACATTATTGTAGGTCCTCTATGCCCCGCCTCTCTCAAACGCTTCGTTTTCTACAAAGCCCCCTCCTTTGACAAGCGCAGTCCGCTCTGATTGGCCAGCTGACCCAGTGCACTGTGATTGGCCGAACACCACAAGCACACGTCGGAAATGAAACGCCCCTTACCATAAT